GGGCCCTGTGGGTGAGCCTCAGCCCCAGGGCCTTTGTGGGGTGTGCTGACTGGCCGAGGGGGGGCCCCGGCCCCAGAAGGCCTATCGGAGCATCTGATCTGATACCCGGTTTACAAGGGCAGACTCGGCGCCCACCAAGTGACGCCTGTCGCCAGAAACCGAGGAAGACCTTTGCGAGCGACTGTCAGCTCCTGCTCCCCGTCAGGGGGACCCTGTCCCTTTCTCGCACCCGAGACAGGACCAGTCTGAGTGTGTCGGCACGCACACAAGGTTCGCTGTCCGTGGCTTACTGAGAGCACAATTCCTCCCTCTGTGGGCACCTCACTCCACAAGGGCTGCGCCAGGGCCAGCCGGCTGGGGGCCGGGACCAAGCGCACCCGGCCCCACACGGGACGTCCTCGGCCACTTGCGAGGTGGATCCCCGAGGCCCAGGGCCCCGCACCTCCACGCCACGGGGTGAGCAGGTCTCCGCCCAGGCAGGGTCAGAGGCCAGACTCTCACAGGGAGGGTCTTTATTTTTGCTTTTAGTTACTCACCTAAATGTACCTGTACAAGTTATGTCTGCCCTATTTTCTAGACTCATCCCACATCCTCGGACATTCTTTTTAAAAAATATATATTTAATTGATTTTTTACAGAGAGGAAGGGAGAGGGATAGAGAGTTAGAAACATCAATGAGCGAGAAACATCGATCAGCTGCCTCCTGCACACGCCCTACTGGGGATGTGCCCACAACCAAGGTACATGCCCTTGACCGGAATCGAACCTGGGACCCTTGAGTCCGCAGGCCGATGCTCTGTCCACTGAGCCAAACCGGTCAGGGCTCGGATATTCTTGTGAAATGACCAGCTCTAACCTATATCCCCAAGAGAAAGGACCTCAGACCAAAACCACCAGCACTCAGTTCTAACGCTGACGCAGAATTAGAGGACTAGGGCAGGCAGCCCGACACCCCGCCGGGGTCCTGTCCCTGAAACCCGTGCGCCCTCTGCTGGGCGTGCGCGCCGGCCGGGAAGGAGGAGGGGTGAGCCCGGGACCCTGGACAGGTCACTGACCCTTCGAAGGCTGGGGTCGGGGACCACGTATGGCCACTCCCAAGGATGTCCCCTGCTGGGCCTCACCCTCCCCCGCCCTGGAATCCACACCACGCCGCCCCCACCACCTGGATCAGTGTGGACACGTGTGGATGCTGAGCTCCAGGTCACTGATGGGACCGTGTCTGGGGGAGGCAGGCCCATCACAGCTCAGCGCTGCCCAGCTGAGGGTCCCCCCACCCCCAGCTGCCTTGGTCTGGCCTGGGCCTGAGGACAAGTTCACTGTTCAGTACTCGGCTCTCTTACACCTCCCGGTGTTGGGATGGCCCTCATGACGTGGCTCTGAGTGTGGAGGTGAGGCGTGTGTCCCCGCTGAGTTACATGGCCCCACGGGAGTGTGGAGGGCACGGGATAGTGCTGAGGGTTCCGTGAGATCACAGGCACGAGCAGCCCCACGGCCTTGGGCTTGGCATGAATCTAACCCCTGAGGCCAGACCGTGGGGAAGAGCGCCGAGACCACCCACAGAGGAGAGCGTGAAGACCACCCACAGAGGAGAGCGCGGAGACCACCCACAGAGGAGAGCGCGGAGACCACCCCTGGAGGGAAGCGCCTAGACCACCCACAGAGGAGAGCGCACAGACCACCCACAGAGGGGAGCGCCGAGACCACCCCTGGAGGGAAGCGCCTAGACCACCCACAGAGGGGAGCATGGAGACCACCCGCAGAGGGGAGTGTGGAGACCACCCGCAGAGGGGAGTGTGGAGACCACCCGCAGAGGGGAGTGTGGAGACCACCCGCAGAGGGGAGTGTGGAGACCACCCGCAGAGGGGAGTGTGGAGACCACCCGCAGAGGGGAGTGTGGAGACCACCCGCAGAGGGGAGTGTGGAGACCACCCGCAGAGGGGAGTGTGGAGACCACCCGCAGAGGGGAGTGTGGAGACCACCCGCAGAGGGGAGTGTGGAGACCACCCGCAGAGGGGAGTGTGGAGACCACCCGCAGAGGGGAGTGTGGAGACCACCCGCAGAGGGGAGTGTGGAGACCACCCGCAGAGGGGAGTGTGGAGACCACCCGCAGAGGGGAGTGTGGAGACCACCCGCAGAGGGGAGTGTGGAGACCACCCGCAGAGGGGAGTGTGGAGACCACCCGCAGAGGGGAGTGTGGAGACCACCCGCAGAGGGGAGTGTGGAGACCACCCGCAGAGGGGAGTGTGGAGACCACCCGCAGAGGGGAGTGTGGAGACCACCCGCAGAGGGGAGTGTGGAGACCACCCGCAGAGGGGAGTGTGGAGACCACCCGCAGAGGGGAGTGTGGAGACCACCCGCAGAGGGGAGTGTGGAGACCACCCGCAGAGGGGAGTGTGGAGACCACCCGCAGAGGGGAGTGTGGAGACCACCCGCAGAGGGGAGCGCCGAGACCACCCGCAGAGGGGAGCGCCGAGACCACCCGCAGAGGGGAGCGCCGAGACCACCCGCAGAGGGGAGCGTGAGCAGAGGAGAGCCGAGACCAGGAGGCTGAGGTGCACGTACCCGTTGTCCAGGCCGTTCTGCCCGAGCTTCTCCCCTATGTCGCCCACCATCACGCCGGGCATGGGGAGGAGGGTCTTCGGGTCCCGAATCTGCACACACCACAGAACACAGCACATTGAGCGCACAAACCCGGAATGAACGTGTTCCTGCCCCGGGGAGGCCCAGCTCCCGCCCCGGAGGCCCAGCTCCCGCGGGGCAGCTGCAGGAGCGCAACGCCTCCTCTGGGACGGGGAGCGGGGACTCTGCAGACGCGACAGAGAAGGAGCTCCAGGCGAGATCTCCCCGGTTACCCCGGCGGGCCCCAAATCCCAGGACAAGTGTCCCAGGAGAGCCAGGAGGACAGGACGCGAGAGGAGACGGAGCAGAGACCTGGGCGATGGGCCGCAGCCCGGGACCTCAGGCAGGAACTAGAGCTGGACCGGGTGGGAGGACCCTCCTCCGGAGTCTCCAGCGGGAGCGGCCCTGCCCACACCCGGCCTGGGCTCTGGCCTCCGCACTGGGCGTTGGGTTTTGGTCCTGCGGCCACAGCAGAACTAAGCCGGGAGCTGGTTAGCTGCCTGGAGGGCTGGAGGGCCCCATGCTCCCGCCTGAGGCGCAGCCTTCCTGGCGGTTTTAGTAAAATGACAAAGAGGCTACGCACGTGTGGCTGTGGGAGAGACGGCCTAACGTTGCTTTTTAAAATATGTATATATTTTTTATTTCAGCGAGGAAGGGAGAGGGAGAGACTCATTGATCGGCTGCCTCCTGCACGCCCCCTGCTGGGGATCGAGCCTGCAACCTGGGCCTGTATGTGCCCTGACCGGGAGTCGAACTGTGACCTCCTGGTTCAGGGGTTGACGCTCAGCCCCTGAGCCACACTGACCGGGCGCCTAACATTGTTTGTGTGAATCTCTGCTCCCAATAAGCAGACCCAGGAAAGGAGGTGGAGCAGCAGACAGTCCTCGCCCGGGAGCCCTGTCTCAGGACACGGAGCTTCATTCTGGGAACCGGGGGGCCGAGTGGTGCCAACTGGGGGGGGGGGGGCCCTAGAGGACACGTTTCGGCTAGACGGGCAGGACTGCGGGGCTCTGAGGCACTGAGTGCCCCTGAACCGTTCCCTTTAAAATGGCTAATTGCACGTGATACGAACTTCAGCTCCACCTACCT